AACTAAACTTGCTATTTTTGTTCCTTGATTGTTCTACGAATCCTGGACCTCAAAATGTTCATGTTGATCCGTCTGTACCAGTTTGTGTGCATGTGCAGTAATACAGTTCCATAGCAGTTTCATTCATACTGTTTTTGGCGTTCCCACTGCAAATAATAAATGACGTACTCGCTATCTCACTGACTTTAATAAGATAGTCATCTGAGACACTGTACAGCAACATTCTAAATAATTAGCTTTTGCCCTCACATAAGTGTAACATGTTAGCTATGTTATGTGATAAACAATTAGAACTATTGAAACTGACAAATCTAGCCATCAATACCTTGCAGTCAGTCAGTATGTATGTATGTATGTATGTATGTATGTATGTATGTATGGAAGTGAAATTAACACGACCCATTGAATTATGGAAAGTTCTTTCATTTTTGTGAAAATCAAGATTTTGAAACAATATGTAAGGTGCTACTTTTTAAGAAAAAATTGATGGGGCTCTGGATCTATTTGTAAAGATACAACAGTTTCAACAATTCCTCTATAATATATATATATATAATATAGATGTAAAGACATTGGTAAAGAGATTTTAACTTTTTATTACTTGAAATAAATGGAAATAACAATGTAATAATTTTTTATTCCTACACTAAACTTTTAATATGGGTCAAAGTTAAACAGAAAATGGTAATTTATTTTCTTCATAATTATGCAAAAATGGACCATAGCTAAATAGTAAAAAAAATTAGAAAGCACAACAGAATCTTTTCGTTAGGGAAAGGTTCCAGACTTTTCTTACAAATATCAAATCAGAGAATAACACAGGGAAGTAAATTCTCAGACAATTCCTGTGATAAGTATGTTAGCTTTGCCCATCCTCTTGAAAGCATTTAAGTGTATAAACTTCACAAATGTGGAATGCAGAATTTTAATTAACACGCCTTTGCAGAACAAGATTTATACTTTTATGTCATTTGATTATTAAAATACAACCAGTTTGTAGCAATATAATCATTATTAAATTTTCTTGCAGTTTACCATGCTACGCCGCCATCAGTGCGAAGTGAACATATAACACAGCAGCAGCCGCCTGCGTCAAATAGTTTACCACCTCTGGATCCAATGTATAGTCAAGTGGACAAGTCTGTGTCACCACAGTATAGTGCTCCCAAACCATATGTCATAGATGGCGATGATTTTCCAAGGTAAATGACAAACTCTGGATTTTAATTTAAGTGTGATTAGAACATGAATGGATTGCGTCAATGGTTTTTGTTCCTGGTTTAAATTGGATGTCGTGACATGTGTAATGTCAATTTAGAATGTGTGTTGCACGCATATTGTCCGCTTTACTAGACTGGCAGGCTGTTTCATTTTGATGATATTTGATTAATCACACACGCACGCACGCAAAGATTCTTATTTTCTACGTACATTTGTATATCATGTGCTGTGTACGTCAGTGCATGTGTTGTGTGTATAAATTGAAGCAAAAAGAAAATGATTTACATAATTACATTTTGAGTTCTTAAACAGATTTAATGTCAAGTGCATAATATTTCATTTAACTTCTGAAAATCTGTGTTGAATTGTATCCATTGCTATTGGCAGAAGGATTGATATGCCTGATATTGATTGCTAAGTTAGGTAGCCCTGCTTTCAGGCCAGTAAAACACTAATATGACAAGTCCATTGTAGTCTTCCTGTGACCAACCTTTTAGTTTATCACATGACCATGCATTAACCAATGAATCAGCTGTTATTCTTTTGGGGGGGGGGATTGTAACAGCTGTTGTGGCTCACAGAATATTTTCTTGAGATCTCCACTGCAGAAAATAGTCTCAGTATTTTTTATTACATCAATCAATACTGTATTTTTCATCTTAAGTGTGGAAAAGTGGTTTTAAAATAAATCAATAAAGCTTTAGATAATACTCAATGATAAATGAAAGGATCTAATCATCCTGCCAGTGGTGGCGCTCTAAATCTCCTATCTAATTTAAAACAAAAAGTTGTCCATTCATCAAATAGTTGTTTTTTTTCTGACTACATCATTGAACTAATGAACTGTTAATCTGTTTTAAGATAGTGCAAAACTTTCATGAAACCATTATATGCATTATTGATGATAAATAAATGTCCTTTATGCATTAGATTTTTTTTTTTTTAAAAGTCTCTCTAAATTTTTATTTGAGGGATTATTAACACATTGTCACTTTTTGTGTGAAAATTCATTATAATCATTAACATTGCCACAAGAATTCATCCATAGTGTTTTTTGGCAGTCTCAAAAGGTTTCATTTATCTCGCCATTCAACTGTGAGTGAGCCTCTCATCTCCTCTGGTTTTTAATCGCAAGTATTACACAATGGAAAAGAGTAGTAAATAAGTCATCTATTTGGACTGACAATAAAGCCTTTATTACGTAGTAACACTGTGTGGAATCGAGTCGTATATTATAAACTCCTTTATAGACTAATTCACCTTTTGTATGAAAGTATCTCGGTTTATTTTATTGGTGTTTAGTGATATTTTAATCTCTGCATCAAGGGTTCTCCAATAACATCACTTCTTGACCGCATAAATAGAAAAACAGCAGCATGTGTTCTGTACAAGGTTTTACTCGTATGAGGTTATTGCTCTTGGGCCGTTACTGTTGTACCCTCGAGGTGACCCCTCTCATTTTAAAAGAAGTTCCCTTTAATATTTTTGTTGATAATTTAAAATAAAAATCCCCAAATCGTTGATTGTTGATTTCTCGCTTTTTATTACAAAGTGAAGTCACATAATGTCACCCTGTTCTATAAAATGTTGTAAATGAAACTAAATCTAAATAATACATTACATGCTGTTCCTTTGATCCTAACTTAACAATACTGAAATTTTCTTGAGTTATGATTAAAATGTGCGAATCAAACATCTGCCGCCCTAATCCGATGATTAGATTTTTTAACTTGAATAGCTTTCTGTATAGTTCAGTGTCAAAACACACTGATGGAAGCATGGCATTGGGATACCATTACTTCATCAAACAATATTAAATGTATATAGTACATTATTAAATAATAAGGCCCCAAAACTGCTTTCGTGTTTATCAATGCCCATGCTATGTTTTAATCGCTACTACAATACTATGATTGTTTTTATGTTTGATCTCACGCAAAACGTGGGATACCAAGAAGTTTGGAAAATGGATTATTGGAAATCAGTTTTGATGGAAATAATCAAAGCATTATAATTGCAATCAACCAATTGTTGTGGATTCTTTGAATCCCAAACATGTCCCCTTTCACAAATACCCCCTGTATAGTTTTCCACTTCAATCCAAACATGTCGCTATGGGGATTATGTCAATTTGGTTTGAAATGAAAAAAAAACTAAAATTAAATTGACAAGGGAAAAATTGTGGTGTTAAAGGATTAAAAGGATAAATAATAAAAGTCAGTTTTGGTACATATCGCATATCAGCGTTTAATCTGAATTACTGATGTGAGTGTAATCTCCACACCTCCGATTTGGATCAAGGCATTACTTTTACCATGCTGATATGTCTTTGACGTTGTGTACCTTTCAGTGTTTGAATTATATCCATGTGAAAACAGTTCAGACATCACTTTACTATTCCCACAAAAGCATTGAATGAAATTCTGTGAAATTCACTCTGCGAGTGAAACCAATATCTTTTAAGTGACCCATAGTGAGTTATGGATCATTTATTTTTGCATTTCATGGGTTGTTTTACATGCTCTCAGCATTTTTTTTTTGCCACTTCTTGATGACTCCATCGCATTTCACTCCCACCTCATTCAGTCATTTCTTCCTTCCCTTGCTGGTAAGTTTTTGTTTTTGTTTTTTTGTTCTAAGACTTGATCTGTCAGTATGTGAAGTCAGTCACATGCTGAATATTGAGTGCAGCAGTTCAAAGGGAGGTCTGCAGGATTTATTGTTAGGGGGGGCAGGGGACAGCATTGTCACTATCGTGGCTTTTTTTTTTATGCTATTTTCATTTATGGAATAGGTTTATTAAGGGGGTGGGTGTTAAAAATAATAGCATTTGAGTTGCTGATCTTGTAATCTGAATATTCTTTCTTTAAATAAAGTGAAGGATTAATCATAAAGCACAAATTGTCAGACAGAATTAGAGCCACTCTATGATTAATTACTCAACAACCTTAAGGTTGCATTGTTTATTACTGTTCATTAATTGAAGGTGAAATGTTACATTAATAGATGTCTAATTTGCATAAAGATATTTTCAGCCTTCTCTTGTGGAAGGTTATTTATTTTCAAATTTCTTGAATATTATTTTTCATGCCTGTTTTGTGTATTTTTTGAGATTGCTCGGTGTGGACAATTGATCAATGTAATAATTTTTTTATTTTTCTCGTGTGTGGGCATAAAACTGATATCGTAATTTTTAGGGGTCTTTAACTACGGCTCATAAAATCACAAACTATTTCTTGTGAATTCAACCTCGCCCACTATATCTTCTTTTTTTTACCGATATTCAAAGTTTGGGGTGAAAGTACGCCACATAGTCGTAAATTTTAATTTGCTTAACCATGCAGATCCATAGCTATATTAATAATGCTGGTTTTAAAATTACCTTAATTAATATTCTGTGAATGCAAAGTGTGACTGTTGAAGCCAATAGCCATCTGCTAGTCATTTGTTAATTCACACTGACATATGCATATATTATTATGCTGACTGTATTGTTCATACAGGTACTGTTGTGTGTACTACCCTGGATAGGGCCCCTTATTATATCACACCTTCAGTATCTGGGGGCTCATTCTGGGTTTGAATTATTCATTTTTGATGTTAAAAACTTGAATCCCAGCGTAAGCATCTTTATCACAACATTGGTAATGAATAGTAAGTGGTAAGACATAATGTGATTCCGTCTTTGTTGCTGTGGTGCTGACAAAACCAAGCAGCCTACCGTACATGAATTATTCATGATCCATTCAGTGTTGCACGTGAAATCTAATCCTAGTGGCAGCCATATTCGGCAGCTATCGTCTTTCTCCACTCATCTTCATGGGTTTTCTGTTTTCTGACGACCATTGATACTGTTAGGAAGCAGTTGTAGTTTGCCGGCTTTGTTTGCCTGCAGCGCACCTCCCTGGTACATTAACGTAAGTGATATTTCACCTGGTAGTTGGTGCCTGTCATACCACACCACTATGTTGTTGTGTGCAGTGCTACCTGTTTTGAATTTGTTGTAACTGACTGTTATCACGTATCACAATGCTATTGTCTATTACAAAGTGACTCGCTTGCAGTCAACCTTATCACAGGCTTTGTAGAATTTGTTCCATGCGTTACTGAAATTTTTTATATATATTTTATGAATTTTGTAATCAGTCAATTTATCTATATATCTGCTATACTATGTATCTGCTATACATATAATAATGCTTTTGATCTGTGTAGAGACTGCATGATTCTAAAAATGAATGATTATCATTGTTAATTTTCGGTGACATGATGCACTTTTATTGATTCCCAGTCATGTGAGGAAGCTCAAAATAACCCATTTTGCACAGCCCCCCCACCCCAAATATTTGTTACCTTCATTTTATTTGCTCTATGTAAAACAGTGATTTCTCAAATCAAATTCGTGTATATCACTTCTACTTTGCAAGTTTATTTTTACGCATAATAATCAGAAATTTAATATCATTGGTTTATAAGGATATCATTTTTCAGGAGATAAAAAAATCGTCTGGTTTTATTAAGAACTGAGAGAGAGAAAAAGTGGAATCTTGATACCCAGTGTAATTATAACAATTATGTTGACAACTAATGGAATACTGAGATTATATGCGTGTTTCCATGGTAACCAAAGATTTGAAATTGGGCTGACCCTTATTGTTTCCTACAATAAAGAGAGCAACCATATTATAGAAATTTGATTTGTTGCCAGCCAGCCAGTCAGTCAGTTATCTAGCAAGTTTGGGCTTGTACCTTTTGTGCATTAACGCAAGATGCGTTTCAATACTATAATAACATGGCTAAATATCAAGGAAATAAAATGGTCCAATTAGAAAACAAAATGATGCTAAATATTCAATAGCATTGTGAAACTTTTGATTTTGATAGTGGGGACAAATTACCCATTTCCCCCATTTCTCCTGACTGTTTAATGTTGTGCTCTCAGTTTATGCTAAAATAATTAACTTAAAATTGTTGCCATGCACAGTGATTATCTGTTTATAGAAGACAGCGTGCACTGTAAGGTCAAATGTTTGTTTGCTGTATGCTGCTTATTCAATTCAGAAGCACTTCTTATTTAGTCACTGTGTTCGGATCCACGGTTGTTTTATTTTAATAATGCAAAAAAAAAATTCCTATATTCACTCGACAATTCTACTCGTTTGCATAGATGTAATGTTGGCATAGAAACCATCAAACATGCTGCATTCTTTGTTGATATTGTCTGGAAATCTTCTTCATTGTATAAAAAAAAAAAAAAAAGCAGTTGGCGGTCTATAAATTAACTAAATAACAGAATGTCACATTTGCTTTCATCATTTACCTCGTTTTAGTTGCCGCTAACTAACTACCTTAAATGTATGTACTAATTATGTGCTTCTTAATCTTTAACCAAATGACTGCGCTGCTGCTTGTGTCTGGGGGAAAGATACAAACGACGAAGGTCATCCTGTTGGAAATGACTTATTTAAGTGATATTCCTATTGTGGTATGATTGGCTAAATTATCCAAGAATAATCTCTTATGGTGGCAGTTCTCAATCATTTTGCTGAATGAAGTGTCAAGTTAATCATTACTGATTCTTTACATTGAATTGTTTAAATGTTGTTTTACATCATCCATTGCCTGTTTAAACATTGCTCGTATTGACCTGTCCTTTACAGCAGAGTATCTGAGCATCTATGTTCTTTGTGCCTTAAATTTGAATTAATTACGCCTGAAATAACTATCTTTTGCTATTTATCTCCTTTCTGATTACCATAACAATATGTAATGAGCTGCATGGATTAATGTATTTTAAATACTCAAACCCTGCAAGGTCATCAATATACATTGAACGTAGCATTTTTAAGCCGGCCACCTATCTTTATTTTACAAATTTAGATTAGCAATGAAATTAAAATCGGTTATACTCCTGGAGCAGTTTTCCTTTACAATAATTCTACAAGGTTCTATTGCATTAACTTGATTTAATGCAATATCAGTTTTCTTTTTTCTGTCAGCTGCATTCGTATGCTAAGATTAAATGCATAATAATATTTCAGTTGTCGCAGTGTGTAAGCTTTTTGCTGGTAGCTACTATTGTCTGTTTATAAATATAGCAATGGCAGCCCAGTGAGCAGCACAGTTAATGTTGGTTTAAATAGAACTATTTTTATGTTTTAAGTGTCACATAAGCTGTATGCTCATTTATATTCTTCCCCTGCATTTTAATTTGGCAGTTATCAAAATTAAACCTTGTATATACATAATGAGTATTCTACAGTGTACATTTCATAATTATTTGTATTTAAAAATAGTCTGTATTTTATGGTTTCTGTTAAAGCGAGGTCAGCTGGTGTACGTGTACAGCATTTGTTGTGGAATTAGGAATATCATAGCGTCGTGTTTTTTTTCATTTTTTTTTCCATTGGGCCATGGGAACGACCATAATAAATATATTAATAATTTCAACGAATAAAAAAAACAAATCTACAGGGGGAGGGGGTATTATTAAAAAAAATTCTAATAGTCAATCCTGTGTGCAAATAAAATGACTATAGTTTAGATATTTGTAGTGTTCTCTATAAAATCCACAGTAGCTTCATCCTCTCTGGTGGAGACAGAATCCAATATTGTATACAGCCATGTAGTCATTGCTTCACTTTCGCCTTGTTCTGAATAAGCTCTTCATCTTTTATCACTGTTGTTGTCATGGCAACATAATTGCCCCAGTGTCTGTCATAAATTACCTATCCTGGTACTTGATTTAAACAAATGGTCCCTTCCTGTACTTAAACACATGTGTCAGCAGCATTCCCATGAGTCAGCTTGTTTGGTACCGCTTTTGGTTACGTGCAAAGAACAACTGTCAATTTATATGAAAATTATATGAATAGTTGGATTTGGCCAAGTTGAAATAATTACAAGAATATTGTCTTTTGTGATATGAGGGGAGAGGGGGTGTTCATTCTAAAAAAGCCTCTGTTGTGTCGTCTAAAATCCAACCCCTAGTTTCTTCTGGGATGGATGCCTGAGGTCACAAAGTTTCAAGTATGCAATGTACACATTCTGACAAATCTTTGCCAATCTTTTTACAAAATGAAACCAAAGGTCAAAGTGTTCATGGAAAGGGTCTTTTATTCAAAACAGAGGGGGCATGTGATCAAATTTAAAATGTGGATTTTATACCATATTTCTAGCTGTAATTAAAACACATTTACTATTCTGGTTTATCCTAAACCTGTATTGATTTGATTATGATAGTATTATTTTCTGACTTTGTCTATCCATTTGTTGTGTATTTCAATTTATGTGCTCGACTATTATTGTTGCATTATTATTATTGTAATAATAAAATAACACAAAGTTGTGGTAAAAGTTTATCTTTTAATTTCAGCTAGTTGTATGCAAGAATGATCTTTTGCATGATATTTCCAACCTCTATCAGCTTTGTGAATGTTTTTGTTAAACTGTCAATTAGATCTATAATATTTAGTGATACGCAAGGTGGCCTCGTTTAATCGGAGCACTATTTTCAGTATGGCTAGGAATTTAATATTGAGAGAGAAAAAAATGATTTATTTGTATTCAATTTCCTTCAGGTTAGATGATAACAGAATAAATTATCCTAATTATTACATTCATACTATTTTACATACAATACCTTGCTTCACCTGCCACGGGTATTTCTTCAGATCCCACTCATCTTAAACACGATGTCCACAATCGCATCAGAAAGGATTTCTAATTTTCGTCTTGGGTAAGGCCATGCTTCAACCTTTTACAACATATGTGATATACTTTGAGTAGGCGCCTACCAAATACTGCACGTCTACCCACACCATGTAATGTAGGTGTCTCGTCTAATATTTCTAATCCTCTTAGGATGATGGTCTTTTCAATATTGATATTGTTGGAAGGTGTTTTATGATGAGCTCCCATATTATCGTATAATTCCCGCAGATCACATGCTAGTCGGCTTGCCATGACAATTTTACTTTGCTGCAATGCGAGTACTCGGCAAGCGAATCTGTCTATTCCTGGTGGGTTTTCATGAGATACGATATGAACACTGTGTGTTGTCGCTTTTTTCAATGTGATTATTTTCATGTTTCTTTGAGGTCTGTACCACTTAATTTAAGCTATCTGATTTCTTGAATGACACAAGGTTGAAATTATTACAAAATTTCATAATTTTGTTTTAATTTTCATCAGTAATCTTTGGACTTTGGGGAGAAAAGTAAAATTTCCCTAGTACTTGTGGGCTGATTGATTTCATTTAGTTTCTAATTCTATATCAGGTTGAGGTCATTCTAATCTAACCTAACCTAACCTGACCTTAACTTTACTAGTATTGTTTCCTCTGCTGTAATCCATATTCTCCTTCACCTAGACCATGGTAGGATGTTAATGTTGAGCGGCTTGTATAGTGCATATGTGATTACGCTTCTCAGATTGTGATTTCCCCCAACTGTGATTCTCCCCATATAATATACACGTCTCTGTTTAACATTTTCATTTTTGATATTATTTCCAGAGAGCCTCGCAAGGTCGTTCTACAAAAAGGAACCACAGGTCTAGGTTTTAATATCGTCGGCGGTGAAGACGGAGAAGGCATCTTCATTTCATTCATATTAGCCGGAGGTGTGGCGGATCTCAGTGGCGAGCTAAAACGAGGAGACCAAATACTATCTGTGAGTAATATTAATATTATCATTATTGTTTCAGTCTTGATTGTATGAGTCGATATTTGCTCAGTTGTGCAGGATTGATGGTGTTGAAATTGCATGTAGTTTTGGTTTGACCTCATACTGCTTCTACTTGCATTAATAATTAAGGTGTGCTAAATTGTATGCATATTCACCTCTCAATGTTGCTATCTCGATGGATACAGATAGTATCAAGCAGGAAATGTCCTCCAGTCCCAGTAATATTCACAATAGTCTTGTGCACTTATGTCTTCAAATACCTAAGCGTCATGCGACGTACATCTGGAGATGTATTGTATAGAAGCGTATTTCCTCTCTATTGTCCCGTCGAATCATTTACTTGATTTATTTGCCACATCAAGTCTACAATAATAATACAATTACATAAACTTTTCCCCTATGGATAATATTGTATACAATTTAGTCAGCCTGTATATAATATCTCTAATTCACTGTGCAACCCAGGAAGGTATTAAACATTGCCCGTATGTAAGACAGTTTTATGATCACAATTGATCACATACTTTACATACGTTTGATACCGTATTTGCTTTATTAGTAGTGCTTCACTTATCCTTTTCACCACCAGACTTTCTTGTCCAAATTTGTCTGCACTTTTTTTCTTGTATTCTTTAACATTTCTGGAAATGAACCCTAATGTTGGAGTGAACTGACAAATTTGAGTCAATTTTCAGTTTTTTACTTGAATAATTTGGCTATGTTTGTCCCAATTTTCTGAAGGAAATGGCAGACTATAAATAGGACTATTTTGTAAATTTGTGATGAAAAGAGTGAGCTGGTGGTGAAAAGGCTAATGAAGGTGTGCAATATTAATTATATACATGTAGACTGTTTGTTTATGCAAGTACATGTACTACTGATAAAGCAATTACGATATTCAAATAATTTATACGACTTCATTTAAAATTATACAACTAAACAAATCATAATAACTGAACATCAAGAGCCATGTCCCCCTCTTTAATTTTGTTCATCATAGCTGCCCCTCTCCTGTCCTGTTTTGAATTTGTTTTCACTTTTGCTAGTTCAGTGCGTCGGAAGCAATTGTGACCATGTTTGACTATCTGTTTTTTTAGGTTAACAGTAAAGATTTAGTGCTAGCCACTCATGAAGAAGCAGCTGCCGCCTTGAAGAATGCTGGCCAAACAGTGACAATAGTAGCCCAATACAAACCTGAAGGTAAAATAAGCTCTACTTGGTTAATTGATCAGGTGCTCATCTTGCGCCCAAATCTACTCACAGTAATTCCCAGTCTATATGTTTCATTGACATTTGCATTGATACGTGTAGCCTGCTTATTATTTGCTGTTGGTCACATTGCAGCTGTGCTGGATTAAATGCAGTGATTTGTGGTAGAAAGTAAGAAGTGAGGGTGTAAATATATTACATGTATCGGTATATCAGATTTGTGTTTGGGTCATGCCCTTGATGCTAGCAAATTATGTGTGTTTGCGGTGTGTGATATATTTCCTCATAAGAGTGTTTCTATGGCTTTATGAAAAACAAATTTTATAATAATTGATATGGGTGATTATTATAAATTTTATGGGAAAAAACAATAGTTAAAATATGACTGGGAATGCAGATGATTTTGACATTTTTGTTCAAATTAACTAAGAAATTTTACTCAGAACAACAAAAGTGAATAACAACCATTTGAGCAGTTCAATAAACTTGGTTTAAATTATAGATAAACATATTGAATTGATTGCTGCTGTAAAATATCAATATTTGATGGTTTCTGAGAAGCACTGTAGTAAAACATGTGCATTTATCTAACAGTCAGACTGATGGAATATTGTTACCATGGAGACTTGTAGTCTGTTTTGCAATCAAATTGCGTTAGACGTTCAACCTCACAATTCTAATCTACTTCTTGATTTGACCTATTTACAATAATTTATCGCATTATCCAGGGGGAAAAAGTCATCAAACCAATGTATTTACCCTGAAACATTCAGTTTCCTGGATCACTTGCATCAAGTCATTAACCCTGTTGGTTATATCTGGAAATTACTTGCATGGCATCAACAAAAATCTGGGCCTTGCAATGACACTCATCATACTATAATTAAAGCTTGTACTAATATTAGCCTCCTAATGGTAATATTAGCCTCATAGTGGTTTTCTCACATGGTGGTATAAAACCCCACAGCGATATAGCCCAACAGTAGAAATGTACATGCAATAGAATCAGGCTTCCAGGCGATTCACGGTGTCTTTGTGCTATTCTTACCACTTTGCAGAATACAATCGTTTTGAAGCGAAAATCCATGACTTGAGAGAGCAAATGATGAATAGCAGTGTGAGTCCCGGTAGTCTGAAGACCTCGGCTAAAAGATCACTTTACGTCAGGTAAGCTCGTCTGCAGTTTTCAAGGCTTCGTTGGTTATCTCCATGGCAACACCTTTATTACGCACACACCTCATTTGGCCCATACTGTTTATTACTGCCTGAACATTTGACCAGTCTGGTAAATTTTCTTGTATGCCCTTCAGCTAAGAAGTGAAGTTTTACTCAAAATAATAAAATAATCATTATTGCCAGCAGCAGTTGTACTATGGTAATAGGTGTAACCTGGTGATGGTCCATACAAGTGGCAACATTTAGTACAAGCATTACAAAATATTCTGGATGTTTCCATGACAAATTGTTAAACTTGCAAGTTGTATACCCCTCGTCCTTGCCATTTTACCTGTTAAATTGTTGAAATAAATCAGATACACTAAATCTATGTAGTTCTTACTCAATAGGATATCCTATGATGTATCAGGACTTACTCTGATACCCTAATGGATAACATCAAAGGTCATAGGTCAAATGGATGAGTCATCAACTTAGATGTACAGATGTATGATCTATTTTTGTTTTATCCCCTCCCCCTCATGATACTGCT